TTTTTACTTTATTGTATTCATAACATTATCATTATCAATCAAATTTATAAAATTCGAGCTTATTAAACCAAATTTTTATTGAAAATATTCTTTATTTTTAAAATATTATTAGTAATAATTATATAAAAAGACGTTTTACTTTTTTGGTTTAAAAAATTACCTATAATAAAAAGCACAGTGTTTTATCAATATAAAAATATTTTTTAATAAAAATTAAGAAATTTTCATGTAATCGTAGCAAAAAGTGTTTTATTACTAAATCTTTAAAAGAAAGTGTATTAGAAAACTTACAAGGTGTGGAGTATTAAAGGCATAAACAAGACTTTGTTTGTAAAATGACATGTTTATCTGGTATGTGATGGATATCGAACGATTTAAAATCGTAGGATTTAATGGCAAATTTCGTTAAAAAAAATTTTCTATTATTTTCATAAAAAACACAGCACCTAACATTTTTAAAATTTTACATGGATAAAATGGATAAATGGATAAATTAGACTTTTTCTTTAATATTGAAATGTTTCTGTAGATAGGGCCTCTTGTTTTTATACCCTACACCACTATAGTGGGGAGGGTATTATGCGTTTGTGCTGATGTTTGTAACACCCATATAAATATTGGTCCTACACCCACTTTATAAGTATACCAATCACTTTCTGAATCGATTTAGCTATGCCCGTCTGTGTGGGCATGTAAACCTTTTGCGCACGCTACAGGTCATAATTTTCAAGATAATTTGATGAAATTTTGAACATGTTCTTCTTTTGACCCAAAGATGAAAATGATTAAAATCGGTCCATTATTTCGCCTATTTTCAACAAATTGTTAAAATATTTCTGAATTAAGGTAAAAATTAAAATTAATGCTTTATTATTAAAAAAAATATTACACATTTTTAATATAATCAGTGGTGTAGGGTGTCATAGGGTCGGCCATGGACGACTATACATTCTAACTTGTTTGTTAATAAAAACGCTAATTTTGGTCGGCGGATCATTAGAAGCTACAATAAAATAAATTTTGAATTTTTGATTAGTAAAGGCGTTTCATTCAGGTGACGATAAATTAAATAAAAAGGATGCCGAATGAAGACTGAATATTCTTCCGATTGTATATACATATATCTGAAGAATCTGAATCGAAATTAAATATATTACATTTCTTGTTCTATATCGGATTTCATCACCTCAAAAAGGAAAACAATAAATTTTATTTGATCACATCAAATATCTGGATATATTTTTTTAATATTTGAAGAATTGAAAATGTGTTTATGAATAGGAAAGTGGGTGTCCCGGTAGGCTAGTTTGTAATAAGCTATTTTTCAGTCTGGGGGTTGTGTTAATCGTCACACTGTTTGTTAAATTCGGTTAGAATAAGAGTTGTATTTTAATAAATAAAAAATATATAAATGAATAGGGAATAGATTTTGTTTTAGCTTCACCAAATTGTGAATTATTTTGGTAATTTACCAAAAAGTTTAAAATTCCATTGATTTAATTTTAAAACGTTTCTGCATAGAAAACGACATTAAAAACAAAACATTCATTAAAAACTCTTTTTCTAAGGTTTATAACAATTTAAAGTATAAAACACCTAAAAAACCCCATTATCGTATACATACAAAATATTTTCATTTAAATCTTTAGTAATAACACTTGAATCAATTACATACTGTTCAAAATTTTAAAAGGTCTTACCCTTTAGGTTATATATTTTAACAAAATTTTTATCTAACTAATATTATAAAATGTTTTTGTTGAAGGTACATATTTAATAAAATATTTGTTTTTGTTTTAATCTAAGTATAATCTAATAATTTAGTACATCATAGTATTATTAACAATTACACAACGTGACACAGTTAACTAATATTTTTTTTTGCATTTGCCAAGTGTTTAAATTTGTTCTAAAATTGTTTACTAATGTTATGTCAGTATAAAACACACAAAAATAAATAAATATATTTTTTTATTTAATTAATTATAACTATTTTAATATCATTATCATAATTTTATAAAAGCATTATTTATTAATGTTAAGTTTAGCATATAAAAGTTTATTTTGTTTTTTTTTTTCTAATATTAAAAATGTATTCATTCAAGTTTTCGGGTGACAATGGGAATTTTAATAAGAGAAATGCTTTTAGCTTCCCTATACAATAACTATTTGTATGTTGTGTGTGTGTGCATATTATTCTTTTTTTAACATTGATTTATAAAATTTAATTATGATTAGCATTTTCCAAAATATTTTTTATTCTAAAAATTTAAATTATATTTCAACATACAATTTATTACTTGTTATAACTATAATAAATATTTTTTTTTTATAAAAATTAAATTTGTTTATATACATACATATGTATGCATAAACATTTTATATATTTTTTTTTTGTTTTGTTCTCCACTTTGCGTTGGTCTAGTTTCATCAAATTTCTTTATTTTTTTTTTTTATTTTTTTTTCTAAAACACATTTTTTATTGTCGATTATGTTTTTTTTTGTTTTATTTTAATATATGTTTGCACGTTTTTTAATTCCTTTTTATTTGTTAATGTGTATTAACAAAATATAGAACGTTTTTATTTAATTTTGGATGCTTTATTTACCAACCTGATTAACTAAATTTTCTATTTTTTTTTATTATAATGATGACAAAGCACTTTATTTTCTCTATAATATATCCAGGGACTACAATCAAGAATATTTTTATTTTATCATATCATATCATTAGATTTTTTATGATATTGGTTTGATTCACAACTGGGAAAGAATGAATTCTATTTTGAATTGATTCCCCTAAATGTTTTAATTATAAAACTCATGTATAAAACTAAACTTTCATTCAATCAAGTTCAAATTGAAATTCAATTAAAAATAGATTGCATTGAAACAAAATTTTTATCATACAGATGGTATTTAAAAATCAATAAGACTGATTTAAATTCCACTTGTAAGAGATAGAATGAGAACAAAATTAATTTAATCTTTGATTCGCCGGGTAAGATTCCAAGACCAGTTTGGTATGAAAATCTGCACCATCCTTTTTTTTTTCTTTAAATGTTTAACAAACTTATCGCTTTTGACAATAAACCGTTATTGGCATACATATGTGACTCCCTGTATGTATCAGACGACAATTAAATGTATTTTTTAGAATCGTTCCATTCAAAATTTTGTTGTTTTGTGAATTATTCCATTTTTGACGTATATTGATAATTTTTGAAGAGAAATGGAAAAATAGTTTTCGAAAGATATCCTTTTTAGCATGTATTGACATCAAATTCTAAAAAATAACTTAATTTTCTTTGGAAATAACAATTTACAGTTGCTGTGTACTCAAAATTACGCTCTAAATAGAGAAAAATGTAAAAAAAAAAATTGAGACACCGGTGTACCGTATACGTGAAAGAGTTAAATGCTATTAGAACCTCAATTGCATAAAAATTAAAAATTATAGTCCCTCGATATTCGTACAAAATAACTTTGTCCTACAGGGGAGAGTATAGTTTTACTTAAAAAACTGTGTATTGTCTTTAAGTTAATCTATATGGTATGGGAGGCATCCGTGCATGTAAGTATATTTACCAAGTCTAAATAAACATTTTAATTAATTCAAAATAGAAAGAAAAAAATAAATCAAGTAACAAATTAATATATTCCCAATGATTTAAACGAATAGTATGTATCAATTTTTTACAAAAAATAAATTATCTAAAGGGAAACTAAAAACTTACCAACATGTATGTACGTTTGTGTATTACTATTTAATGATTGCGATTGTGGCGATATATTGAAAACGAATTTTGGATTAAAAAAGAATATCCTTGAGTAGGTATATACATGTAATTAGCAATAATAAAACAAGTATTAACACCAATTGTATGTTCTCAAATCCAAATACTTTTCGTAACTGTAAAAAATAAAAAAGTATTAAGTACAAAGTATAAACTTATAATTATAATAGTATAACAAATAAAAAACAAGAAATGTTACCTGTCTGCACTTATTGGAAGACCGGTAATAAACAGAACTGAAAATAATAACTCAAAATGTAAAATAAAATTTAAAGATATACATACATACATATGTACAGTATTGTTCGAAACCTAAGCAACTATTTTTGGCATTGTATACAAAGTTTTAATTGATTTATTCAAAATTATATAATTGATAATAATAACATTATGTGTCTACATTATAATAGCAACAACAAATGTTTATTTCCATTTCGCTGTGAGTTACAAGAAAATAATAACTGAATTAACTCCATAAATATCTGTTCGAAACTTGAACAACTAATCTATTCTAATCTATCTATTCCATATTATTATTATTTTCTTGTAATTCACAGCCAAATGGAATTAAACTTTTGTTGTTGTTATTATAATGTAGACACATAATATTATTATTATCAATTATATAATTTTGAATAAATCAATTAAAATACAAAATATAGCACTTTGTATACAATGCCAAAAAAAGTTGCTTAGGTTTCGAACAATACTGTATATGTTTCTCTTTAAGAGAAATTTTAAATTTCTTTTAAAAAACATAACAAGCAAAAAACGTTTTACATTTTGTTGAACGTGCTCCACAATACACAATAAAGAAAGGTTCTCAATATGTAGTTTCTAAATTGTATAAACATACAATCATTCTATTTGTTTAATGATTAAATTCAATTTCATGTCCTTACTTTATGTCGAAATTTTGTGTAAAAAGTAATTGAAAATCTAAAGATTTTGTTGGACTTACATATTTATACTGAAAACTCAGAGAGAAACTTCAATAGTTATGGATTTTGAAGCACAACAGATATGGTAATTTTCTTTATAATTAAAAATATAAAATTTCCAGACAATTATGTCAGGAGTAAGAATCCAATATAAATATTGATTAACAGATTCAAACATTTTTATTTTGTTTAACAAATTTTGTATACTTTTTACACAAAATATATATTTTATTTTAATTCAATTCTAGTGTTTTTTTTTTTCAGTTTCAGTAACAACAATAAATAATTATTTATTTAATTTGTTTTAATTTATAGTTATACATTTAAAGTTATTTAAATCCACTTAAATAATGTCATGTTGTCTAGATTAAATTTGCAAAAAAATAATAAAAATATAAAAGAGAGAAAAAAAAAACAAAACAATATTATAATAAAACCAATTAAAGGGCTTAAAGCAAAAGCATAGTAAGTCACAAGGATTTGAAAACTGAAACTTTACAAAATATGATCTTCTTTAACTATCAATCTTTTTATAGTTGCAACTACATAGTTATATTATTGCCCCAAGCCCTGGAATTGGATAAATATTTATGTCGATAGAAAAAATTCATAAAATTTAACTACATTAATATTAAAAAATTACAGGTTTATATAGACAGAGATGTATATAAAAAATTAAAATAAATAAATCTTGCACATAAAAATAGTTTCTTTGTTCTAAACTAATTATACTTAAAATTACAATTAAATTATTTTAGTAAATCAAAGAAATTCAATTAGATTGAATCACTTTGTATTCGTTTTCCATTTTGTTTCATTTTGCATGATTAGAGTTAAATTATAATTAATAATAAAAATATTACTTAATAGCAGAGAAGAACAAAAATAAAATCTACAACTAAAGCATTTAAATTAAATTTAAATGCACAATAAACATTAAATTACAACTAAAAACAGAAAATAAAACTTAAGTGGCACAGCCACCTATAATTTCTAACAAATTTCGTTTTACTTATAACAAGTTAAAATTATTTAACTAAAATTATTCTTTTTTCCAAATATTTAAATGAGGATTTTTAAAGGATCTCTCTCATGAAATGTTGATTTTTCTTTGCTTTGTACGCAATACGTTTAAATTGTTTCTCTACAATTACAAAGCAAATTTCCAAAATTAATTATTTTTGTACAAGTTTATACTTAGTGAGAATATTATTATTTTTTTTCTTTTGTTTTAAATAGTACATTACAAATAAACCACATAAATGCCGCATAAAAAATATATGCAGTTCCAAAATTATATGAAAGTGCGACTGTTATGAGAGCTCACTAATGACAGTTCTCACCCAAAATTCAAAATTTGTGTATGAGTGTTTTGTAAGTGTGTTTACAACTACAATTATTACTACTAAAAACAATCCCAAAATGGAAAGATTGTTTTCAAAGCTTTGGTTATGCTTTGATCCAAAAAAATTATGGCAGTTACTATTTTTTTCATTGGTGCTTAACTGTATAAACTGCCTTCCAACCAATCCAAAAACAAATTCAAATTTATGTTAAATAGAATATTTTCTATTTTGCTTCATCTTGGTCCATCGGTTCCTCGGACTCATCACAAGAAAGAGTTCTGAAAGAAAAGAAAAATCCAAAGAAATAAATATTTAACTTCCATACTATTGGTAATAAGAATAGAGGAAGAAGGAGAATTTAAAGTCCAAAGACAATAATCTAAAGGCTTTTAGAATATTTGACATAACTTTTATAAGTATGAATTATTCCTTGTACTTTAACAAAACTGATAAAAATGTGTAAATGTTTAATTTTTTTAAATAGATCGATTTATTATTTTTGACATACTTGTTCATCGACTGCATTGATAGTCCAGCCATAGCTGTTACAGTATCCGACTCGTCATGTTCAACTTTTAAAGCTTCCAACGCAGACATGCCCACAGTATGATCCAAACGTCTAACACAAGGCCAATGTTGAGACTGCAATAAAAAAATAAGAAAGAAAATAATAGGATTAAATTATCTTCAATGTTATTCAAATGAAACATTAAATATTTACCTGTATAGCTATGGTTTTCTGCAAGGTATCAATTGCATTTTGACATGGAGGACGATTAAGTTCACTTTCAGCTATGGGTGATAGAGGATCGCCCAGTAAAGCTCTAACACATTCTTGAGCGGAATCACATATAGCTGGCAGATCGTAACCACCTTCAAGCGCCAACACAACTTTACCATTGGCCAGATGCATTAATTCGCGTGTCATAAAACCAAAACAAGCTGGCGATACAAGATATCCACCTAAAGGAGCAGGATGACCTGATGCAGCATCGAAACCGGCCGAAACTAAAACAATATCAGGATTAAAATAACGAGCAATAGGCATCACAATAGTACGGAATGCAGCAATATATTCGGCATCTCCCAATGGTGGATTCAACGCGCCAGACCAGGAAATGTTAACATTATAGCCTACACCAGGACCGGAGCCACACTACAAAAAGAAATTTACAAATTGATACAATCTTTAAAATTTATATTTTAGTTAAGGTTTACCTCTGTGGGTCCACCAGTGCCGGGGAAGAAATTGCCATCATCATGACGATGTATGGATAAATATAAAATATCTGAATTACTGTAAAAAGCCTGCTGCGTGCCATTACCATGGTGAACATCCTATAAAAGAAAATATTTTTAAAATGCTAAATTTTCAAAGTTATCATTTTCCACCTACCCAATCGACAATAAGAATCCTCTTAATTTCAGGTAAACGCTGCCTTAGTAGTTTAGCTGCTATCGCTATGGAATTAAAGAAACAAAAGCCCATGGCCAAATTGGCTTCGGCATGATGACCGGGCGGCCGTACCACTGCGAAACCATTCTTTAAATCACCTTTGGCAGTTTTCATAGCCAAATCGATGACACAACCTGCAGCCATTCTTGCTGCCAATGCCGTATGATGTTCATTCCAAGTGGTGTCCAAGTCAACACCCACACCACCGCACGACAGTCGTACGAAGCTTGCTGATGGTGCAGCGGCTTCCAATTTCTGCCGATTGGCAGCCAACTGACATTGACTTGAGCCGAACAGCATGGCATGAGCTTCCGTATGTACCGATTGTATTTCTTCGAGAGTTGCTTTTGGAGATCTTAAGCGATGACAGCGCTTAGCTAAGTCTGTTTCATTTAAACGAGCCCATACACTCTGCAAACGCCCACTGTGTTCCGGATGAAGACCGTTGTTGCCACATATGCAAACATGTTTCAACATTAAATTGTCGTAAGCTAAACCTGTGGTAATTTTATGCGACGGTGACAAACTATTACTAGATATTGGAGGTGTTGTCTGCTGCTGCTGCTGTTGCAGTTGTTCGGTGGTTAACTGAGCGTGACGGGTGGACAAATCCATTAGATGTTGTCGTCCATGTCCGTGTATGGCTAAATTTACTGGTGGTATATGATCTGCTGATGATGATGTAACAATGGGGCCGGCATGAGGAATATGTGTAGATTGACCAGTATCAGGAATTTGACTTAGACCATGAGGACCCAAATGAACCAAGGGCGATGATAGAGTCCGCGATAAAGGTCGTATTAATCCTCTAGCAACAGCATCATCGATTTGCAGAGATTGCATATAGAGGAGTTCACGCTGTTGTTGAAGGTACTCTTTGCTGCGCATTAATTTATTCGGTTTGTTTGGTACGCACACTGGTGGTGGACCAGTAGCGTAGGGAATGGGCGCTGCCACAGTTGCTGTATTGGGGAGATTTTGTGAGGTACTCGTGATAACTGTACTAGTTAACACTGTTTTTGGAGGCTTCTTTTTGTCGGTGAGATCCATTACTTCGGCGGCATCATCCTCTTCTTTCAATTGAGTATCTCGCACAGCTCCACTGCGTGTGAGTACAGTTTGTCGTATTTTTTGGGTTAATAATAAATGTTGTTCGTAAGCTTGTCGTTCGGCCTGTAGAAATAGTATGGAAATGTTGGTAAAGTTACTACTACAATAGATCATTTTTTGGGATCAAAAACTTACATCACTATTTTCATAATGAGTTGGTGTTATATTTAACTGACCACTGCCAGTTAGCATGGGATGGCCCAGGGGTAGAGGAGCTGACTGTGTTCTACCCAACGGCCGGTGACCCTGTTTGTTAAGATGAGCTTGGGCAACCTGAGCATCTGTAATTGGTTGTCCATACATGGTGGAGGACGATTGTGGAGAATGCGCTACAGCATGTATACCGCCGGTAGAAGCTACGTGCATTAAAGCTGAGGTACCGGTCGAAGCTGCATGAGCTAGCGGTGGTGCCACCTCTCCCACCAAAGAAGCCTGTGATGAAGATGTTGATGTAGCCGAAGCAGATCGTACAACTGGGGACTGTGGAGGTGCTGCTCCCGCCACAGCTGAATTAGCCGTTGGTGGTATCATAGAACTAGGTGGAGGAACAACTTGTCGGCCAAATGGTACCGCTAAAGGATTATAATACGTTGGCGGACCAGTTGAACCGGCTACAGGTGGCATGCCAGCGCCACCACCACTAGCAACATGTTGTCGCAATGCAGCCAACATGGCATAATTAGCTGCGGCGGAATTATGAGCATTCTGTAAATGAGGACGGCCTAATGATATATTTGGCATGGATGGTGAACTAAATAATGATAAGTCATTGATGCTGCTTCGTTGGCCCGGCTGATACTGACTGCCATCTTCATTTTCTTCTTGTATGGGTGCACTCGTAGGCGAGCCACGATTTGGACCAACTACACCTGTACCAGCAGCCGTTAGACTAGATGATGGTGGAGAATTTGGACCAGAATCAGGTGTACTACTGCAATCTTATGCAAAAAATTAACTTATAACATTAATTTGTAAATAAAAAAATATTGACAAAATAGCAGTAGCAATCATTTTCTGCATTACTATTTCCATTTATTTATACGGTTTATATTTAATTTCGTATGTAGTTAGTAATAGAGTTAATACAAACAAATTATAAATTAAAACGACATTCAGTTAAAATAAAAAAACAACAATAAAGTTATAAAAAAATAAATCATTACAAAGAATATAAACTAAAATTTACAAAAAAGCTTACTATTTTCAACCATGTAAAAAGACAAAAAGTATATTTTGTATTAACTCTCTACTTATGAATTTCCAGAAATGGATTTGATAGTTTTCGTTTTCATTGTATGTATACGTACTTGTTAAAGTAGAATTTTGTTTTTGTTGCCTCCTTTGAGCCGCTTGTAACAGGCGTTCATGTCTTCTTATACCAGCCGGTCCACTGTTTCGAGCTTTACGTTCTATGACACTTAGTTTTAAGCGCATCTTTAGTAAATTTGGTTCGGATGCTGTGTGTTATAAATGAAGAGTAGTAATTTGTTTGTTTGTTTTTTGAAGTTGTTGTGAAAAAAATATAAATGCATGTTTTTTTGTCTTCTGATACCGTTTTAGGTAAAAAGTAATAATTTCATGGATTTGAATTACGTTAATTGAAGGGTCAAAAACTAATTGATTATATTTTATTTTAGGGAATTAGAAAAATACACTTTAAATAGAAATATATAATTAATTTTTTTAACATATTTCAATTTTGTAGCTTAATTTAAAGAACGGAGAGAGTAAGACTAAATAAACTGTTGTAATGAAACAGACCAGAGACGACGTCGAGAATCGAACCTAGATTGATAGACAAGTACCTTAGTAACCAAATTATATTGTATGTCTGGCATAAAGAACCATTTAAACAAAACAATGAAAATTTTCCAAAGTTTTTTTTAATTCTAAACGTCTTTATGGTAATAATCATTACTCATACGCTATGTAGCACCAGAAGTCTAGATTAGAAACATAAAATGTATATTCCTAAAAACGTTTTCTACCTTGAACTAAACCAGAATTTTCGTTGGTTTTTCTTCTAAATGGTAATCGCTAAAATTATTTATTTTTGTCAGAAATATATCTTTAGATTAATAAAAATACAATGGGAAATTGTGTAGTTTATTTTACCATATTTTTGTTTTGTACTATTTAAACAATTAATAAGTATGTCTGCTTATGTATATGATGATATATTTTTTCTTTAAAAATTACCATATTCAAACATATTTTTCCTAAAAAGAAGTATATTTTTAAATAATTCATTTACATACAGATTAGTTTTAAAAATTTCACAGTTTAGCACTTGTTTTATGGTGTTAATGGGCGCAATAACATCAAAAATTACAAAAATTTTCCTTCATTTCACTTGAAAAACATGCATAAAAAGTTCAGATTACTTAACGAATCCATTTTGTATTTATTTTTGTATTTAAATACACAATACATTTGATAGGAATTAAAATGTGAGAAAACTTACCAGTTTTTCGCAAAGGAAAATCTGATTCATATTTGAGTAGAGATGATGGAGGTGGTTGTGGTATTTTATATGGATGAGAACTTGAAACTGCTCCAGTAGGTAGGGATTCACCGGATGAACTTTTAACAACGCTTCTAAGAATAATGGAGTTTAGAAAGTTAAATTAATATCTTTGAAACCCCAAAGAAATGCGACTTATGTACTTACCTATTGCGATATGGTGATGTTGTTTGCATGCCATTTGGAGAGGAGGCGGCTTGTTTACGATTTAATATAAAACACTGTAATTTTTTAAGAAGTAATTTGAAATAAGAATTTAAAATAATTTAAAATTTATGTTAATTTTAACTTACATTTAATATTTGTTTCACTTCTGGACTAGCATTTGCACTGTTCTCTTTACGTTTGACTATGGCTTCCCTTTCTCGCCTTTCTCTTTGCTGTTGATCTTCAGCAGCAGCTGAAATGATTCTTTGTTCTTGTAATTCCTGATAAGCGCCATGTGTGTGGACTGCATACTAAATGTGTATAAAAAATATATAAATACATAGAAATGTTTATTAAAATTTTCATTGCAGTATTTTCTTTTCTTTATCTTAAATTGAGAAATATTTAGTTTGAGATGATTTTTTTTTTTTGTAAAAAAGTACCCTTAAGTACTCGACAAATGCACAAAATGTCTTATTTATGTGAACTCTTAAAATAATAATAATTAATAATATTAATAGCTTCAAAACAAACTTGATATGGCAGATTAGTGTAATGATGTGAGGATTAATTAAATATTTGAATAACATATTTGGTCAAAATAAACCTAATTTTGTTATAACAACGCTTCTAGTTAAGATATTTTGTAAATACAATTAAAATTATTAATTGGGTTAATACAATTTCTTAATGTCAACAGTATTAGATAATTAAAAAAGATATAAACAAAGAAAACAAAAATAAATAAAACTTTGTTCACACTTATTTTTGAAAAAAGTGTCAAGGAACAACGAACTTACATGAAATTTATGTTCCAATTGTAATTTATGTTGTAATTCCAATTGTTTTGATTTTTCTTGAAATGTATGAAGCAACATTTGTTTCTGTAATTCTTGTGTCTTTTTCAACTGTAAACAAACAGAAATAGAATAGAATAAAAAAAATCAAACATTAGTTTCTTACAATTTATTACGAAAATCAAATTAGTACTAATTTTTGTTTATTTTATTTTTAAATTAAAAAGAAAATTTCTTTAACAAATTTATTTAATGAAACAAAAGTAGCAGCATGTTGTTAATTAAAAAACACGAAAAAAATCAAAACAAAAAAAAATCATTTTAAATTTACCACCAACAAATTAATACTAAATATAAAATATAAATAAATGTTCACATATGTGTACACACATACTTATATTTATAAACAAAAAATAATTAGTTGATTTTAATATTATAGTAAAAAAAAAGAAAACAAAATACATTAAGAAGTTTCCATGACCTTAAGTCAATTTGTATTTAAAATTTATTTTATTGTATTACGTAGGAGTGTTCGTTCGTTCATTCCTTCTATTTTCTTTTTTTATTATTTCTTTTTTTCCGTTTTGCATTCTAAATAATATTAGGGAAAACTTTAACATTTATATATATACATTTTTTTTGCAAAATTAAATAAGAAAAATACGCATTGTTGTTATAAACGTAGGTACAACAATATTTTGAATCTGTTTTATACCACACACTTAAGAGCTAAATAATAGCACTGATATGAAGTAAATACATATAAGCGGCATTTAAAAATCAAAACATTTCGGAAACAACATAAATTACAATATATTTATTACATTATATTATAAATTACAAATACTTTATTTGAATTATTTTTCAAATTGGTCTCAAACAATACTAAAAACGCATTTTTATTCATCCTAATGATTTATCAATTATATTAACCGTTACAATATTGTTTTGATACCGTTTACCTAAGCCCACTACACACGATAAAGTAAAATAAAATTCCATCCGTATAGCTGATCGATTGATATGAACAATATAAGATGAAGACAGCTGTTCCTTTTTCTTATGTGTATAAAAATACAGCCCTGATACAATAAAGTTTGCTTATTTTTTTAATCATTTCAAAAAATAATCTGTATCCGTATTTTCTCTCAATGTATGATGGTTTCATTATATCAAGATGTATCAATTATGAGATGAAAAAATCATTTAATTTTGACGCGTATTCATGAAGTTTATGACAGTGTCGGTTTTGAGAGAAATTGCTTTTTATATAGAATTTGACAGCCTCGGGCAAAACTTTCATGAACAAAAAAACAATCAGCTGTTGAAGTTACTTCATCTTATTAGTTGTGCCATATTACGTTACATTAGACCACGGTAGACTAAGATGGGTTGCTGCAACATTACAACAATACAAAAACAACAAGTATTTTGTTTTTATACTAGAATTAGCTTACTATCAAAAATGACATATTAAATGTAAACAGATAACATTCATAATATGTAAACAAAAACAATTTATGACAAACACAAAAATAAAAAATGACAAGAATTTATAGTCGTGCATGGCCGACCATATGATACCCTACACCAGTGATTATGTTAAAAATGTTGGTTATTTTTTTTCATTTAATTTTTACCTTAATTCAGAAATGTTTTAACAATTTGTTGCAAAAAAGGGGATTTTCTAAAAGAGGGGTTATATGGGGGGTTAATATGGTCCTATCGTTTTACGTCTACATTAGTTATTTATGCAGAATATCATCGTGATATTAGTATTTATAAGTAAATTTTGACTTCATTTTCTGAAGAGGACTTTGTGTGAGGGATAGGGTCAAATGAGACCTGGTCTTTACGAAAATCACCAGTATCATTAAGACTTATATAAAACTAAGTTTTGCGGATTTTTTAAATGATAGAAGAACATTTAACACATGTATGAGCTCAAAAGCCCTATTCGGGGGGTACGTTTGTATGAAATAATGGGCCTATTCATATTGGGGCAAATGAAGAGTATGTGCCCTGTAGAGTGCGCACAAGATTTACATGGACACACAGACGGACGGACATAGCTAAATCGACTCAGAAAGTGATTCTGAGCCGATTGGTATTAAAGTGGGTGCAGAACCAATATTTTTGGGTATTACAAACATCAGCACAAACTCATAATACCCTCTCCATTATAGTGGCATCGGATATAATGATCAGCTGCATTATCGCAGTCACCTTTTTTGTTATGCCATGGTTTAAACGATCAATTCACAAGAAAATTTTATGACATTATATTACTTGTGCAATGTGTGTGAAGTTAAATTCGAATTTAACTAGCAGAGACACAAACCACATTTTTTAACATTGCTCTTTTTGCAGCTAACAGAGCACTGTTAAGCATTTAACAGAAAGTACATGAAAAATTAAAAATAAATACTTTGAAATTTTCAGAAAATGAAAATTGAAAATTTCAGAACTTAAAAAAATATGAAAAATAAAAAAAATATTTTTTGAAAAAAATCAATATTTTAATAAAAAAGATTAAAAATTCTCTAAAAAATCAATATTTCAATAAGAAAAATGTTAAAAATTCTCTAAAGGATTGGTGTCCAAATTGGACAAATATGGAAATGCACACGTATACCACTATATAGGAGTAGTAGTCTAAAGGGTCCCTAACAGGATTCTGGTTGTCATATGTCTGGAATAGTTTTGGAAGTTTTTTAAAAAATTTTTGAAAAAATCAATATTTCAATAAGAAAAATGTTAAAATTCTCTAAAGGATTGGTGTCCAATTTGGACAAATATGGAAATGCACACGTATACCACTATATAGGAGTAGTAGCCTAAAGGGTCCTTAACAGGATTCCGGTAGTCATATGTCTGGAATAGTTTTGGAAGTTTTTTAAAAAATTTTTGAAAAAATCAATATTTCAATAAGAAAAATGTTAAAAATTCTCTAAAGGATTTGTGTCCAATTTGGACAAATATGGAAATGCACACGTATACCACTATATAGGAGTAGTAGTCTAAAGGGTCCCTAACAGGATTCTGGAAGTCATATGTCTGGAATAGTTTTGGAAGTTTTTTAAAAAATTTTTGAAAAAATCAATATTTCAATAAGAAAAATGTTAAAATTCTCTAAAGGATTGGTGTCCAATTTGGACAAATATGGAAATGCACACGTATACCACTATATAGGAGTAGTAGCCTAAAGGGTCCTTAACAGGATTCCGGTAGTCGTATGTCTGGAATAGTTTTGGAAGTTTTTTAAAAAATTTTTGAAAAAATCAATATTTCAATAAGAAAAATGTTAAAAATTCTCTAAAGGATTGGTGTCCAATTTGGACAAATATGGAAATGCACACGTATACCACTATATAGGAGTAGTAGTCTAAAGGGTCCTTAACAGGATTCCGGGAGTCATATTTATGGAATAATTTTGGAAGTTTTTTAAAAAATTTTTAAAAATATCAATATATTTAAAGAAGTAATACAAAAAATTCTCTAAAGGATTGGTGTCCAATTTGGACAAATATGGAAATGCACACGTATACCACTATATAGGAGTAGTAGTCTAAAGGGTCCCTAACAGGATTCTGGAAGTCATATGTCTGGAATAGTTTTGGAAGTTTTTTAAAAAATTTTTGAAAAAATCAATATTTCAATAAGAAAAATGTTAAAATTCTCTAAAGGATTGGTGTCCAATTTGGACAAATATGGAAATGCACACGTATACCACTATATAGGAGTAGTAGCCTAAAGGGTCCTTAACAGGATTCCGGTAGTCGTATGTCTGGAATAGTTTTGGAAGTTTTTTAAAAAATTTTTGAAAAAATCAATATTTCAATAAGAAAAATGTTAAAAATTCTCTAAAGGATTTGTGTCCAATTTGGACAAATATGGAAATGCACACGTATACCACTATATAGGAGTAGTAGTCTAAAGGGTCCCTAACAGGATTCTGGTAGTCATATGTCTGGAATAGTTTTGGAAGTTTTTTAAAAAATTTTTGAAAAAATCAATATTTCAATAAGAAAAATGTTAAAATTCTCTAAAGGATTGGTGTCCAATTTGGACAAATATGGAAATGCACACGTATACCACTATATAGGAGTAGTAGTCTTAAGGGTCCCTAACAGGATTCCGGTAGTCATATGTCTGGAATAGTTTTGGAAGTTTTTTAAAAAATTTTTGAAAAAATCAATATTTCAATAAGAAAAATGTTAAAAATTCTCTAAAGGATTTGTGTCCAATTTGGACAAATATGGAAATGCACACGTATACCACTATATAGGAGTAGTAGTCTAAAGGGTCCCTAACAGGATTCTGGAAGTCATATGTCTGGAATAGTTTTGGAAGTTTTTTAAAAAATTTTTGAAAAAATCAATATTTCAATAAGAAAAATGTTAAAAATTCTCTAAAGGATTGGTGTTCAATTTGGACAAATATGGAAATGCACACGTATACCACTATATAGGAGTAGTAGCCTAAAGGGTCCCTAACAGGATTCTGGTAGTCGTATGTCTGGAATAGTTTTGGAAGTTTTTTAAAAAATTTTTGAAAAAATCAATATTTCAATAAGAAAAATGTTAAAAATTCTCTAAAGGATTGGTGTTCAATTTGGACAAATATGGAAATGCACACGTATACCACTATATAGAAGTAGTAGTCTAAAGGGTCCTTAACAGGATTCCGGGAGTCATATTTCTGGAATAATTTTGGAAGTTTTTTAAAAAATTTTTAAAAATATCAATATATTTAAAGAAGTAATACAAAAAATTCTCTAAAGGATTGGTGTCCAATTTGGACAAATATGGAAATGCACACGTATACCACTATATAGGAGTAGTAGTCTAAAGGGTCTCTAACAGGATTCTGGTAGTCATATGTCTAGAATAATTTTGGAAGTTTTTTAAAAAATTTTTGAAAAAATCAATATTTCAATAAGAAAAATGTTAAAATTCTCTAAAGGATTGGTGTCCAATTTGGACAAATATGGAAATGCACACATATACCACTATATAGGAGTAGTAGCCTAAAGGGTCCCTAACAGGATTCTGGTAGTCATATGTCTGGAATAGTTTTGGAAGTTTTTTAAAAAATTTTTGAAAAAATCA